AAAAACATGTGGCTACACATTCACATCGTCGACACAACAGGGATATTATTAGAATCTTTGAACCTTGTTAGCATATTGCAACAAAATCATCTAATCATCCATCAGATTTTATAAGTAAAGCCAAAATGCAGCGCACACAAAACAAATCGCATACAGCGACGGAGAGATACTTAAACAAGCGCTATTATTTATTTAGAAAAATGATGGAAGATTTTTATCTCAGGCGTCATTGCCATCATGCCAGGCGCTTTATTTATATATTAAATGTGAGTGGAATTTTAATCATTGGCCAATACACAAATACACGCGCCTCTCGACAGCATTCGCGTTCGCACACCTCTCTCTCTTTCTCTCTCTCTCTTTTTTTTCTCTCCCATCTCGCGGGATGTTGAAAATGAAAACCACTTGAAACGAAAATCTCAAAGTGAGACAAAAACAAGAGAAGAGAAGAAAAAACAATTGTGCAAATCACTCATTGCATGCAAAAACGTCAAACGCACCACCGATTCCAAGCGCAAATCACATTTATTATGATATTGCGAAAATGTGCATTTGTCAAGTATTGATTTGCCTGGAAGGGCAATTCAATGGTGTAAAATATATACCAGTAACGTAACGGAAACGACGTCAAAATTGCCGATCAATTCCGAAATAGTATAGTCGGCATGCGAATTGCAAACACACACGAACGCATCGGCGAAAAATTGTCAATATTTGCAATGGACTGTCATGTCATGTCATGTCATATCGCACTCATTTTCCAAGCCAAATCCTCAATTTAATAATGGAACGCTTTACATCGGCCCGCATGAAATGAGACTGCAAAAACAAAACGATGCAATTAAATAGCCAAATGAATAATAAAAATCTCAATTGAATGAAATAAAGAATTTAAACGAATCGAAGTAGCAACAGTTGAAGAGATAGAAAAGCGAGAGAGAAAACGCAAGCAAACAAACAAACTAGCAGCTAATATTGATGACAACGACATTCAATCGAATGCAACACTGATGAAGCAAGACATTTTCATAATAAACAAATAATTAAAACGCATAAAAATTTTCGCCGTAAATGACAACGAACATTTACAGATTTATAAAATTCCATATTTTATCGAAACAATAAAGCCGAGTAGTTATTTTAACGGCGTTTAGAGCTTTGCCAATCGGCCAATGAAAAATTAACTCTTCGATCGAATCAAGAGGAAGAAACACGGTGAGAGACAGAAGGAGCTAGAAAGAGGGACAACGATACGACAATCGGAAAGCGTGTCAAACGAACCGAAATCAGAAAACAAAATACTCGAAGAGCAATAATAGAAATTGCACCAATAAAATCGAATAGCTACTCTATGGCTACGTACAAAGACGATTACCCCACCGGGGGAATGGTTAGCGTGCGCGTTCCGCTCGCATTGATGACGTTTTCAATGTGCGGTGTTTTCAGTACGAATTACACATTTGCGCCTAATGTTTGTAACAGTTTCCGAATAATTGCGGATTTGATGTGCGTTAACAGCTCAACCGAATGGGCCGAATGCATTCCATTAGCTACCCATTGGTGCATCGAAGCCGAAGCAACACAAATTAAATTGTGGTTGCAGTTATTTATTAGAAATCCGCAGAACAAGCTGAATCGCAAACAGAAAATGTAATAACCAAATGAAAGAATCTTTATGCGAATTCCAGATTGGTGAAATGAAATTAAACGTTGCCGCCCATTCGATGAAACTCGAGTAAAAATTGCACCGAACTTGGCTATTCTTCTTCTTCTTCTTCTTCTTCTTCTTCTTGTTTTATTCTAATGCTTGTCGCAATTAGCGATGCAGAGAATGTTCGAGGCAATCATTTTATTAATTATGAATGTGAAGAGCAAATGGCAAACATTTTTGTTTTGTTTTTCGACATTTGAATCGAAAAACGTTTTGCAGAGCATTTTGTGGGCTAGAAAACATTTCGCCATCACAATTTTTCTCTTCACTTGAGGCGCGTGATATTTGCATGGAAGTTTTTGATCAACATCGGCCTATGAAATGGCGAATTGATTCGACCGGCAATCAGGTTTATGGTGTATTTTTGTGAGCATTTTCCATGGTTTGGCTCTTTTTTTTATAGTTTTCTTCGATTAATACCGAAATAAATTGCCATACGCATTGGAATGACTTTCGCGCACGAATGTCTCCCTCAGACCGCGCGATATTTGCTTAATAAAATGAAATTTACAACTTGTATCTGGCAACCAATACGGTCGAAGCGCTACGAAATGACGGTATTTTATTTTATGAGTGCTCATTGAGTAATTTTCATTCCTTAATTCTCGATCTCGCTCTCTCTCGAATATCCCAGGAGTTGGCTGTTTTCCAATTTTCTAATGGTCATTTGATGATGACAACGACAACGGCATTGGCTGCGGTCGCTTTCTTCTGACCACGCACCGTATGCCGTATTCGTATACAAATGAAAAATGCGAAATTTGGAGAGTATCCATTTTGATTGTGCCATAAAGGATATTACACGCTTCTGCATTAAACTCAAAGCAAATAGCTATAAAATTACATGATGCAACGAGCGAAACAGAAATGAAGAAAAAAAAACTATTTATACCGAAAATTTCAACTCGTATAAATGAAAAACGTCAAAAACAATAAAAATCAAATCGTACAAAAGGTCTAACTGTCTATGCATCGCGCGCATGATATCGTTTTTGCTTTTCTTTACTTTTCTCTCTCTCTCTGTGTGTTTAAAGTTGCAAATCGATAAAAAAAAATCATTGAAACGACTTGGATGCGCAATTCAGAAATGTACAAACTCTCGGCCAATGCAACGATTGCAACGATTCGACATTTTCCATTTTCGCATATCTGCATCTGCGCCAATGAATTTTATGTACCGTTAATTAATCATAATCATAACAATAAAATAATCTTTTATGGCGCGAGATGGGCCCCAATTTTATTGACTCAACACAACAAACAAAGAGAAACCGATTGGATGGCTGTTGGCCACTATATTTTTTTTTTCGGTGTTTACTAGAAATGGAAAAAACCGCTTAAAGATAAGAGATAAACCAATATTGTTGCCGATGCATACAAATCGATATCGCAGTCCAAAATGTTTACAATGTAACAAAATATTGCAAACTCTAAAAAATAGTTTTATGCGAAAAATAATTGAACAAGACATTGCTACGGACAGTGTTGCCAAATGGACACATTGTGTTTCACATATATTTTTTTTAATAGTGAATAAAAATTGGCGATAAGTTCATTGCCGTGTGTCCGTGTGCGATCGTTGGTTCGTAAAGAATGTGAAAGAATTTCCATTTGTTAGTGTCACTCTTGGTTGGTGTTGACAACATCGGTTCGGTTCATTTGAATGGTAAATCTTTGATTTGCATTTATTATTCATCAACGGCAAATTGCATCCAATGCGAAGCGTTGACAATTTGTTTGTTGTGCGTTAGTAGATCATCTTCAAAATGCCATTACCGAAAATATTCAGTAGTTTGTTTTAATGGGATGCATGCAAAAGTCACATCGTCGTTCAGACTCGGGTTATTTTTTTTCTTCTCGCTTCTCTCAAACTCTGCCATGCTTCATAGATATTTTACTTGTCGCTGCATTTTCTGAATTAACATTTTTCGTACAATAAAATTTGAAGAATGGAAACGAGTATCTCTTTTTTCACACATACTTCAAGTCGGAATAAATTGAATTTGACGCGCAAAAGGGAAAGGTGACGAAAAAAAAAATCAGTACAGCCAAAGAGATGCAAAGAATGAGATTGACGAAGTTGGAAGCACCGTAGAAGCAAAAAAAAAATCGAGAGAGCGTTTAGTACCGGCGAAAGCATTAAATGAGCAGAAGCAAAGCATTTAAGTGTTCTTCCACGAATATCGCTCAATATCAATTATTCGTTGATTTTTCTTTCAAATACAATAGCATGTTATTTGTAATTTCAGTTTCATTTTTCGCCCCTTCTTTTCGGCTTCACAATTTCGTCTTCTTTTTTTTTCTATTCCTATCATAGATGTTCAAAGAATGATGGTGTGTTTTTTTTCGATGCGTCGAAAAATCTGCATATCCTCTTCATCGAAGATCAAATTCAAATGAAGAAGCACCGTGTGTACGTTTCCAACGATGTTAAACAATAGACAAAGAAGAAGCGCATCAGTTGTAAATGCTTGTGAGCTCATCTCCATATTCAGCCCATGTGCGTGTGTTAGTGTGTATGTGTGTGCATGTGCGTGATCATCTAGAAGCAATCATCGGTATGGAAATGTCACCCCTTTATTACGGCGAATGTTTGTTATTTCGTCATTAAAGCAAAAGAATAGGAAAACGAAAAAAACGTAGAAAGAACGAACCGACACGACGAAATCGTTTCTGTTTTGTTGTCACTTTCAATGCATATGTTACTTGATTCTCGATTGATGTCTATCTCTGATTGAAGAAACGGGTAGCAAAAAAAAAAAGAGAAGCAGCAGCACATAGGGTATTTGTGCCAGGGAAAAAAGGGGTTAATCTCATTTATGGTGCGAGAGCCGCGAAAAACAAACATAAATTAATTTTGACAGATTTTTTTTTCGCTTTCTCTCTCTCTCTCTCGAGCTCGCAGCAATAATCGTTCTTTTCGCTTACTTTTTTACAATCGCTTCGGCATCGTTTTCAATAAAATGATTAATTATTTATGATCGCTGATGTGTACGCCGAAGACAATAAAGGAATTTAAATAAACAGACAACTTAAATCATAAACATATCTGTCTCGCTCGGTTGAATGGAATAAATTCTGAAGCCGAATTTATCCACATCGACAGCGGAGAGAGAGACAGAGAGAGAGAAGAAATGCGCAGAGTTTGTTTGTATTTCATTTAAAACGTAAATTTGATGTGTGTTCTACAGAAGATTACGAAATGGATCAAAATGGATTTGTGATCCTGTGTGACTGTCAATCGAAGTTAAACGATTTACATGTGGAAGCGAAAAAAATCCCAACTTACCTTTACTGTTTGATTCTTTAATGGATGATCTGGATCGTGAACGTATTCTAAAGTAATGCCATAAAATTGACCTTTATTTATGTACGTGATGCGATCGTCTTCACGTCGTTGCGATGAACTGATTGGACTCTCAAGATGATAGCGGAAGCCTGTGTTTGAGAAACTGAGAAAACAGAACGAAAAAAAAACAAAAAAATGAAATAAAAAGATGAACACGAAACAAACATTCAAGTAGAATAAGTTGCAATTTGATCATATTATAGATAGAGGGATCATTTTTTCGGAACTAATCTTCTTCGGAATATGATAAATGGCGTAAGTTATTACAAATCAAAATGGACAGTTGTAATGAACAACGGGTTCGAAATGATAAGAACGAGAAATGGCTGCAAATGCAAATGAAAGCATGAAACAAAAACCGAGCATAATAAAGGATTCGCACATTCATTAGGCGAGAGCATTCTTTCTCACGCGTGCATATGTGTTCGAGTTGTGTCCAAGCAATACATATGTACATCGACATTGTCCATCCATCGTTTCATGTGAAACGAATGGAAACAAAGTCAAATGCGACAGCTCGCTCAGCTGTCTGATTATGACGACAAAGTTAAAAGCCAAAGCAGAAAAAAAAAATGCAACGTCATTTGATGAGTTGGAAACTGCTGAATTAAACATGTCGATGGATCGATTGGCTATTTTACCTGTGAGAGAATTCTCGCATTTCACAATTTAAAGACGTTACAATGTGATGGGATGGTGCTTCAGGTTAGAAAAACAAAAAACAAATTCAACCAATTCAATCGGAGCGCACTGGCCAGAGAGTCGAATCAAATAATGTGGATTGCAGATGAAAACGAAATGCCCACAAACAGCCAAATTAGTTCGATAACCACAACTGACTTCGCATCCAATGAATACACTAATTGACAATATTATTCAAAACAGACGAAAAAAAATGAACCGTTTTTTTTATGTTTATGTTCGGTTTCGGTTTGTCTTGCGTAGCGTGTGAGTGCGTGCGCGTTCCACATCGCTTGACTTTGGGCCCGTTCGCCTTACTTTGTACACTCAAACTCTTAATTGATGATAATATTAATCGACAGTTTTTCATAAATAGAAATGAATTTAGTGTGCGATCGTTCAAAGTGATTGACACGTTACAACAACCAAATCGACTTCGGATCGAAACCAATCAATGGTATAATCATTTAATCGAGAATGAAATGCTTCATTTCGAGCTAAAAACAAATCTACCGTGTGCTTGTTGTTCCAATTTTACGATTTTGCTGTGAGTGTGCTCGTGCATTTTGCGCCAATAAAAAAAACGGCACGGATAAAAAAAACCCAAATGCTAAATGACCAAAAACACGAAACCATGTTCACATGTAAATAGTCCAAATCGAAAGCAAATCATTTGCAAAACTCACGGAATAATGAAGCGATGGCAATGTACATTTACCGCACACTCACGCTCGATGTGAGTCATGTCAATTAGAAACGAAATACGGCTCAAAAGATCGAAGCCAGGAATCACATCCAAACATCAATTCCAATTTCACTGCCAGATCTGCGTCTATATTGTTGCATAACATTTTCTTCTCTTTTTCATTCGTTGCTCTTTTCTAGCCATCGAATTTATCTTGAGTGTGTACGCGCGCAAGCATTGCAAACATCCTAAACACTCAGACAATACAATATGCTCCGGTCCATACGCATACGCATTTAAATGCTTCTTTTCTCTTCGCTTCCTTCGCCTCAAAATAACAAAATTGATTGCATTCTCTCCGTTCAGCGCAATTTCGCATCTCAACTTGTAATTCTTCTGCTACAGAGATCCATGTCTATGCTTCTATTTGTTATTCATTTATTATCTAGATCGATTGATTCCATATTTGGTAAATGAAATCGATTTAAGAATGGGAAATGTGCGCCGAACCGCGTTGTATTGTTGCATTTTGTTCTTTCTCTAGTTTCGTTTTCATCGTTTTTCTGTGCTAGAGCGCAGACACATTTGTGTATTTTGGATTCGAAACGTAATGCGTTTTGCGTGGCTGTGTGCAACCGTTATTGAACAAAAATCCAGTTGACAATGTCACTCCGGCCAATACTTTGGATTGCCAGTTGAACGTCATCGACCGTAAGCATGACGCACAAGTTCCCATACACTGGCAACTTATTTGCACCGATAATGCTGATACACATTTTCTACTCTATCTTTTGGTTGAGTTGTTTTGTCGCTTCGAAAAAATCATCGTTTTATCGTCACTGTACTTGTTTTGGTAATTACTCTGGAAACAACATGCACTATCATTTTTTTTCTCCATCGGAATGGATCACTTTCGACTATATCGATTTGAATACTTTGTGTACTGAGCTCGTGTATCGGAAGTGCATTCTAAAATTCCAAATATGGTTGATTCGAAAACCAAAATTGAAACTCAGTTCTTTTCTCTTTATGTTGCATTTTTTGTTGTTGTATATCTTTCGATAGAGTATGCCGTATTCACATGGGGATAATCATGAATAAGTATGAGCTTTTGAACTCGATAATGATTTAACACTCGATAAATTAATCTAATCACCGCAGCAATGTTGGGATTTTACAACAGAGACAAGGAAGAAAAAAATGAATATTTCTCAACACTTGATACAATGCACAGATAGAGAGAGGGAGACACACATTGGGTCGAGGGGAAAAACGAAGAATGTGCTAGCTAATGAAATAAAATATGCATTATTTTTCAATGGATATTCTGCAATGTTGAGAGTGTTGGAATTGGTGTGTTTGTATTTTTCTCGCTCGAATCGAACGATGCGCGAAAAGCCGTTAGTTCGATATTCGATGCAATCAATTCTGCTGAAATATTTCGCATATTCATATTTGTATTCTTGTTAGTTACTATTTTTGTTTTTGTTTTTGTTTTCGTTCGCTTCTCAGATTCCATTGAATTTGACAAAAACGCAAAAACTAAATAAGCCGAGCATTGAGCATGCACAGTGAACATTATGCTTATTTGTTTGCTCCGATATGCAACTGCGCATGAATAAATTCGATATTGCGTTGGGAGAGAAGAAGAAAAAGAAGGACAAAAAAGTAGACAATGGCAACAAAAAGGATTGCCCGTAACCGAATCTATCCGATTGAGACTATCGTCCGATGTGGCCTGCTTCAGACGCGCCAAAAAAAATTGCCTCGTACATTTCTTGCATGCAATGCAAAACATACATTGTATCAGCATTTGCTTGGCTGCTGTCTTCATTTATGTACGATCATCGATTGTTTGCAAGCCACAAATCGATTGTGTGGTTTGGTTGCGCAGATTTTTCGCGCGCGCGTTGTACTGGATGCTGTGCAACAACGTCAAGTGTACAATGATTGCAAGCGGTGCACAGAGAATGCGCTCGAATGTTATATTCGTTATTAAACAAATGTCCGATTCTGTTAGTTTTGTTGCTATCGTCATCATTTATATTGAGTGGTATTCGCAAGCGTAGAACGTATGAATTTATGTCATGATAAAGACCAATCTTTATACGGAATGATTTGAATTTACGTGCAATTTTCATGGCCAATTGGCCGTAGATATGTGTGTTCAGCTCGCGCGCACATACAGTTCCCATTATTATCGCAACTCGGCGAACGAAAAAGAAGCGAGAGAGAGAGAGACTCCTTTCGACAGGAATAATCGGATTCATTGAGAAAACGTGCAACGGGCGAGTGAGTGAGCGAACGAGCGAGGGAGAGTCTCGACGCAAACTATATGTACCTATACGTATGCGTGTACTTTGCATTATCAATACAAGGCCTATCTGACTGCCTGGATGGGAATATGTAGCATGTCCAATTTTTGTTGTGTTTTGTTCTTCTTTTGCCATGGGCTCTTACATTTTAAAACGCACAATTTACGATCTACTCCAAACACTTGCCCATTAAAATGCCTAAAAACGATCGATCAATGACTATTGAAGCATATTTAGATGTGTTGTATTTAATGAATGAATATATCTCAATGACCGATTGAATATTCGACGAGAATGGGGAGGGAGAGAGAGAGAGAGAGAGAGAGAGAGAGAGAGAGAGAGAGAGACCAATCGACAACAAAACTATCTCTCTAATGTCTTCATAGAAGATCCATAACGATGGAGATTATTGTCACTATTAACCTGTTTCATTGCGGACTAGTTTATTTTGAGATGCGAACGAATGAAGGAGAGAAAAAAAACCATGACACCGACAACAAACAAACAAAAACGGCACATCTGAAGACTTTACAATTCGCATTTCAAATGAATGCGTTGTCGCTGCAACCATTTTTTATACAGAAGACTTCTATAAACGACAAACCCCACCAGTGTGGGTGCGAAATGTTCACATCATTTCTCCCGCTTCAATTCTCATCATATGCTTTACATGGTTAATAATGTGAATGGGACGCGATACAATGCGACATTATACTAATTGAATACAATTTTGGGTACTTACATTTTTGGTATTTGAATTTTATCAGCATCGTTTTGCCGGCCAAAATCATGCCATGGCCGTGAACGTGTAGACGGTTGACTGCTAATCGATGCATTTGTGCTGTTTGAATTTGTATGCATACCAACTCGTTGCATTGCGTTCACGGAAACAGGGATGGCATTGCTATCCAAGATGGTCGCTGGTTGACATAATTCGGTGTAATCGAATGATTGCTGTGCCGATAACAGTGAGAGGGAAGAGACAAAAACAAAAAGTTGAACGTTACCAAAATTTGAACAATTCGAATGACGATCGATTCGAGGTTCATGGTTGAATTGGATTTTAATGTATGCGTATGTATGAGGTTTTTCCACTCAAACACACACACACACGCGCGCGCGTACACATCATGAACAACCAGATCGAGAAGAGAAAAAAAAAATGAAAATGACTATCATTGTCGCGCGACACAGGACAAAATATGCATATAATTTGGTATGCTATCGATTTTGCGGTGCAGTCCCATGGACACACTCTTGACTCGTTCGCCAAAAACCATTGACATCTTAATGACACAGACACACAGAAACCGATCGCCAGAGAGAAAGTACTCGTGTACTTGTTCCTCTGATGCATGCAACCGAAAGCAAAACCAAATTCATGCGGATTGATGTGGACATTCACATTTTCCAATTCCTGTTGGTTCATATGTACAAAAGAAACTAAGTAGCAATTCACCTGTTGAATGTTGTTTTGATCGCGTGGAGTTATAGCATCAGCACCAATACCAGAATCAGGACTTGGCAAATCCACAGTCAAACCGGCTGCTGTAACCGTTTTTGTGTAGACCAGTGTACTTTTTGCATGTGTTGTGTAGCGCCCTTCGTACGCACTTTGTGACGGTCCTTCAGCTGTATCGCCATAGATTGTACGTGATGGTGTATAACCTTGAGCACTACCATCGCCGCCACCAAAGTATTCGCGATAGTATGGTTCTGAAATGAATGTGGAGCCGCCCGCACTGAATTCGGATTGAAGTGAGAAAAAGGGGGAAATAGATGAAAAAACAAACAGACGAAATTAACATCGATATCTCGAACAAATGAAGGAAAATAGGATTTTAGTTTGGCAATGCAAAAAAATAAATGCCATGACAAGTGCAACTTCCCAAAAATGAATTGTTTTCGAGGGGAGATTGCTTTCAATTGCATTCACTTTTTCATCAAGATTTATGTAACCCAAAATGTGCATTATTGCGATTGGGCCACAACAGCACAGACGACGAGAAATAAAAAAAGAAAGTCAGAAAAGAGGTAAAATATACTTACGGCAAACGTGTTGTATACATTCCATATTGATCAGAATATGGACCTGGACTTGGAGTATTTGTGTTTACATTTGAACCAGACGTTGTAGTAGAACTAGTTTGATGTGGTGGACCCTGTAAAACGAGAAAATCACAAGTATTTGCATGAGATTATGAAATCGAAATCAAAACAAAACAGAAACACAAGAAAAGAACACACAAAAACAGCGCCACACATTATGCCGATTCGCCGACCGATTGCACTTGTGATCGGACCAAAATCATGTCGGATGTTGACAAATATGAAGCATGCGCGTAGGCGCGTGTATATTATGATCTGATGCCATTCGTTTATTGTGAAACGCAAGCGTTCCAAAACAACAACTACAACAAAAAAACGACTAAGAGAGCGAAACATAAGAGTGCATCATACCTGCATGTAGATCTGTGTTGCTCCACCTGTTGTTGTGTACATGGTTTCGGATGCTGGACTTCCAGGGCTGGGTGGTGGTTCTTTGATTTGTAATGATGGCGACGGAGATTGAACGACAAGAACCTATTGGAAAACAGCATGAACATGGAAATCAATATTACATTCCGACTTCTCGTTGCTATGTGATTTGAATTCTAATTTTAATCGCACACACACACACACACCAACACCGACACATTAACGAGAAATTGCAATTAAAATTGAAATTGCCTGCGGCAAATGGAATGCGGAGGCGAAAAACTATTTCGTATTCACACACACAATATACACATTTTGATTTACACATCAGTTTTTAAAGACTAGCTTACACCGAGATTAAAAGCTAAAATAAATCATTTCAGTAGCTCTTCGTGCTATTTCACTGTTTAACATAGAAAAAAAACCACACAAAACACACTCTCATAATCTCATTCATTCGAGAAGGCGGCAAAACGAACAACAAACAAACGCGACACAAAAAAAACCTTTTGTGTTATTTGAACATTCACCGTAATTTGAATGCGTCCTAAACCGTAAATTTTTGAGCTGATTTTTGGTGGTGATCAATGGCAAGGAAACACATTGACCTAAACTGATATATTTATAAAGCATACAAAAAAAACCACCACAATTCCGAACCGAATGCGATACGCAAACAACTCAAATGCATAAGTCGCGACGCAGCATCGTGACATTGAAATTTGACCAAAATATTCGTCTAAATCACCTGAGCTGGACTGTGGAACAAATATGAAGTGAGATGAAAGAAAAACGCGCGCGCCAATTTATTGCCAAAAAGATGTCACATATTTGTTGGGGATTTCAGTGCGAGAAATACGATGCAAACGTTTTAAGTTTGTGTGTTAACAAATGAGCCACCACACAAATCCGTACTTTGATTCATTAATCATTTATACCGGAGTTTTGGAATAATGTTTGTCCGGTATACAACATAAGAATGAAAAATAGATGCGATTTTTAAGTAAAATGAGTGTTCCTCATCGTTATTGTTTTCGTATACAGTCCAAACATGTGGCAAACGACGATGACGATCACATCAACAACTGATGAACGAAAAAAAAATTAATTACTTCCAAAGATTCGGCAAATGAGGGGGAAAAAACCATACACACAGAACAAAAACAAAAACAACAAATAAAAAAATGCCCAACAGTAAACAAGTGGCAAATGAGCTAAGAGCACATTTTTGTTTGTAGCATTATTTCTTTTTTCTAACATTTACTAATTATATGGCATATTTTATAATAAATTAAAAATCGTTAGTTTGTGATTCAAGCCAATAAGGAATAACAAAATGGAAAAATATTCCATGTATAAATTTACAGAAAAAAAAACACAAGAGTATCTAGCGATACTGATGCTACTGCTTGTGCGCTGCGATTGTCACCTTCCTCGCCGGAACAAAGCGAGAGAAGAGTTTTTTTTTTCTTCTAAATTTTATTATCGATTTGACAAACGATTGGCGTCCTTATCAGAGCCGAGAAATCTTCAAATTAAATGGATGTTTTATCTAAATAGAGTTCCAGAAACGTTTGTATGGCTATAAGTGTTGCCATGACTACGTGCTGGGACATAGTCGACACAATATAAGCTTCCAATAGTCGCAATTTTAGTTGTTTCATTTTCAAGATTCGAATCAGATCAGAATCACCATGTGCTCGCCAAAATTGAAATCGAAATGTAAAAGTCAATGTTGTGCACAGATCACACAGAAAATAGTACGACTCACTCACTCAATCGATCGATCAATCGACGCCAATACGACATTTACGATCAAATCGTAACATCGATGATGCTTTGATTCGCTTTTTGTGCCTATCTTTCTATAGCATCGCGTGTGCGTATGTGTGTTTGTTTTTTTTGTCTATTCCTTCATTATCATCAAACACTAAAATTCAAAGTCAAAACACAAAAATTCTTTTCCGTATATCATTAGACGACCATCAAAATAAATGACAGCACCGCCGCGCGACTCACCATACTTGGTGTGTATAGGATTCGATATTTGCTAAATTCGTTGTATCTCTTTCTGTCGAAAACTCCATGCATATTCAAAGAGCGCATCGGAAATTTGATATTTAATCAAATATCGAATTGAGATGAGATGAGCCGTGTGGCATCATGCCACTGGCATGTGTGTGATCATGATTCGTTTCGGGGCCCATCGAATCGAAAGAATTGGGAATACCAAAGATTGTTATAGTCAAACTTTGAATTGAATCAACAATTAGGAAACGCATATCAAATTATTCACAATATATTCCACGTGTGTGAGTCTATCGAAATTAATTGCGTTTTGCTCCGAAGCGGCGTGTCGTTTTCATTTTCGTTTTCGTTTGTGCTATGTTTTGACATCAGCAGATTTTATTCTAAAAACAACAACAACAACAACGACATACAATTCGATATCATTCGTCGATATGTGCTGTGATTCATTCTCAGGTTTCGGAATGGCCGAGAGCATGGTCTGCGCGAGCGAAAGAGAAAAAGACGGTCGAGCTTTTTTTTTCTTCTTCTGTGTATGATATTCTGCGCGCCACAGCGTTGACAACGCATCGGTTGATGACTTAATTTTTATATATTCAATATGCAAATGAATTTTCGGCCACAAAAATCACAAAATGCTAATGCACACTCCATGACATTTTTTTTTTATCTCTATTGCGTTTTATTTACACGTAATTCTATTGCTGTGATTGGCTATTGATTTTGTTTTTTGTTTTACAATGTGTTTTCCCCTCTGCTCGCTGCCTCTATACAAATCTTTGGATATTTTTTTTTTGTCGTCGCTTTTAACCCTTGGCAAATCACAGTGTGTCGCACCGAAGAAAAAAAAAGTTATCTAATAATTTATTGACTTTTTTTTAGTCTCTGTGTTTCTTGTTATATTATTATTACGATTTCTTTCGACTTAAGATTCGCACTATGCAATTCCACGGTCTATCTCTAAGCTCTTCGGTTCACGTGAAACTTCTGTTTTGAGATATATTCTGGGAAATTGCTACGAAACGACATAAAATCTATATTTGTTCCGCCATTGAATGTATGATTCTTTGCAAATGGACTTGTGTACAAACGTTCTTGTGTTGGTGGTCGTTGGCATCTCTTTTTTCTCTGTATAATTTTATCAAAAATACATATGGCTGTTTCACACCCAAAATCGAAATCCAATGCGGCCGTTTTTTCGTTTCGTTCTTTTTCCACTCATAATTTATATCAATTCAAAATTATGATTCTTGGATATTTTCGCTTGCCATTGAATATTGCGCAGACTGAAAAAAAAGTGCACATTTCATCACAACAACACACTGCTGCACACATACACTCAACAAACAAATCGCCGCCAGACCAATTGTTCCGTCTGTAATATATGAAAACGTTGTGACACATGGAAACGATTTTAACATATTTTTAGGTAATTATTGTTATTATCAATTTTTTTTTTCTCAATTCTCTCGGCTTTTTTTTTTGTGTCATCATTTTTATTATTTGTGACCAAACGATATGTTTTGTTGGCCTTTTCGGCTGTGATGTGGATTTGTTTCTTCTTTTTCTGTTGCTCGTCTTTTTGTGCTTGTTTCGTTTCGCGTTGTTATCATAAGCCGAATAAAATATTTGTTTTATTAAATTTGTTGATCCGTTTGCAATCGATGCGCGCCAAAATCAGGACGACATCGAATCCAAAACAGCAACCAACCGAGAGGAAAACAAACAAAATTGCCCGACAAAATGATCAAGTCCAATGTCAAGAGGGTGGAAAAAAGAATAACGCACAAATTTTTGAAAATGAAATCATCCATGTGAATCAACACACAAAACACAAATAATCATCATTAACATTCAAAAAAAAACAGATAAAGACGCAATTTCGAATCGTAAAAAATCCTTTGGTGGATATTTTTTCTCAGTCCTTTGCGAATTGTTCGTTCGTTTGTTGTTTTCTTCTCTCGATCGGTCAATTGGAAGCAGATTCATAACCACAACCAATAACAAATATGTAGAAAAATCACCATGTGAAATAATTGTCTATAGTGAGACTGTGTAAAAATGATTAAGATGCAGAATCTCACTCACGCATCAGCGAACACTCACTCACTCACTCACATACACACAATCACTCCCGAATCGAAATTATTATTGAGGGAATTAAATGACTGTACGAACAACAAAAAAAAATCCCAGAAATAATTTGTAACGAGCGCAAGAGAGACGCGCTCAAGTGTCCAGTGTAACCACAAAATGATGTTGACGACAAATGATTATGGAAGATCACAAAATAAATATAATGACGGCAATAGCGGCAACGTTTCTTATTTCGTTATTTTTTTTTTAATTTAATCGTCGTTGTTGTTGCACGTTGTATGTCTTTGGTTGGTTGGCTGGCTTTTTTGTTGTTGCTGTTTCGTTTCGTCGAGTTGATCACAAGAAGAACATGAAATTACACAGTCTGTGCATTGCTAGTAGCAACGACGCAGTATCAACAATCAAAGTGACCATTCAATGTGAGTGATATCGTCAATGCACATTGAACCACATGAAAATGGGAATTGGTTGTATTACACACGCACGCGAACACACCGCTTAAGATCACTTGCAGACAAACTGATTAATAGCGATACAAATAATTGCATACGCACATGAAATCGAGAAACGAACGAACGAACGAAACGAAAACAAAAAAACAAAACTGAATGAGAAGAAACGACGACCGAACGAATGAACAAAAAAAATCGTTGTGCATAAAACGAAAAACTAAACCCGATCAAAGAGAATGGATGGTGATCTCGCACGTCCTTCGGCCACTCACTAGTTTTCGTCCATCATCATCATCGTCATCATCATCAACGACAACAGCGACACAATCTCACACATATTCTGAATTTACATTGCATTTAGATCAAAAGAAAGCTGTGCTGTTATTTCTTTTCTCTTCGGTTATTATATTCATCTCTCTCTCTTGCGCATTTATGCTCGTTCGGCATTTTCATGCAGTGTGTGCGTGCACGCTCGCGAATATATCTCGTTGACGTGCGCATGCGCGCAATTGCGCCTTCGCCCGTTTGCTGCTTATCTGCGCCTTCACCGTTGTGTTTGTACCTTTTTTTTAATCAAGTGCTCTTCAGCTTTTGTTATGGGCGCGCGCATCCAAAGGGCTCACAATTTTGGTTCGTGTGTGTGTGGTATTGTTCACTTTATAAACGCTCTTAATCAGTCAGCAATCACGCAAAATACCGCATACGATGCAAATTTATAATAATGGTATCGACAACAAAACAAACTACTTTCAATCTCGAATGATATCTCAATATTCGCACTTGGCCAATTCACATACGATGGCGCTCAGCTTTCAGCGCGGAAACTCACACTTAAAACATAAAACCATCAACAACATCGAACAGAACCGAACCGAACACAATTTTTGCCAATGAGGAATCTCTTTTAAAACGATTTCCTCCCTCAGGTAACACACTTTAATTCTATGAAATCACACAATCCCTCGTTCGTCCATTTATTCATCCTTTTTTCGTATTCTTCGCCACTAAATGCCAATCTTAAAGAATAGTTGTAATAATATTCGCTATTCGCAATTGCGCACACATAAAACTTTTCCAATCACGTGTTGTATCAAACGCACCGTTTATATCTATCGTTGTTGTATTTCGCTGCTTTTGTTGTTATAATTTTTATTATTATTATTATTTCTCTGTTTTCTTCTGTATCCTTCAATTTCAAAAATAAATACTCATAAACTGAATATTGCTCGAATAATACGCAAATGATAACCAATAATAATCAATAAACGACAATAATGCAAATCGGTATTATTGTTTCCTGCTTCTTGATGGTCAATTCGAACTTGTTCCGTCAACGTTCTATGACAGACTAAATATTCAACATAAACCGTAAACGAAAAAAAGATCCAAAACAATAATAATAATGAACAAAAAGCAGCAAACGTCAAGAATAAGCACAACAACAATGCCATATATTCAAACTAGTCTACAAACGAGTAGTCCGTTCAAGTCATATATACACACTCTCTCACACATCATTTACCCTCTCTCTCTCGCTCTCGCTTTCGTCCCTTGTCGCTCGCTCACTCACTCTTTTGCTCGTTCGCTTTAGCCCATTCAGGCACACTGCCGTCTCGTCGTCTTTCTATTGCTACCGCTGGCACATCGCATACGCGTATAGCGGCATGCAAGAGATGTGTGATCGGCAACGTGTGTTGCCGTTGATGTATGCAAGGCAGTTAAGTTACCTGTATGCTTCTGCGCTTATGTATAGGTAGGTACACGCGATGATTTGGTTATTATTTCGTATGTGTCGCTATATATTTTTCTTGAATTGATGACGTTTTTTTTTTCTTCTTTCGTCGGTTCGGCATGGTAAGAAGGCATGCGTACGCATCTTGTTAGGTTCCGCCAAATGTGGCTGCGTGTATTGGTAGGCTCAAGAATATATCCGTATTTCCCTTCTTAAATCTTAACTATTTAAACAAATCACTTCCCCATCTGCTTAATTTTATATACACACGAGAGCCTAACGGAAACTTTCCACCTTGATTTTTTTTTCCTCTATCCAATCGTTCCGCTTTTGGAATGAAGGGAAAACTTCCAGTCAAGGGAATTTGCTTCTGGAAAAGATTCCCAAATGTCGAAAGCAGAAGACAGAGATTCCTTCTCTTTTGATGACTCAGATTTCATTAGACAGCACAATGCCAATTGCGTAAGAGCGGGAATTATTTTCGTATGGTTTGGCAAGAGTAATTCCGTATTAGAACGAGAAATTAGTAACAAAAACAAAAAACGAGCCAAATACTGAATAACGACAAAAACAATTCAACAATGGTTGAATGCGATAAGAAGAAGAAGAAGAAAAAAAGAAGAGCATATTGTCATTGTTTGCGCGTAACTGCGTGTTAATTGTATATTTTCTATGGATAATACCGAAAAAATCGTATGACGCCGCCCCTTAAGAGATAGAATTGTTGAAACAAAGAATCTACGAAACAATTAAAGATATTCTCGTGAAGCCTAAATCCATTTTTCAGTGGTGTTTATGAGCGCATTATTTTTGCTTCACGTCTCTCTCTTTCTTTGTCTCACCACTCATCGCAAAGAGATCAAAATAGCCACGGTTTTTTTTCTGCGTATTTCTCGATCTGCACGATCAACAACAGCAGCAGCAGCAGCAGCAGCAGCAGCAGCAATGTTTTATTCGTCGTTGCTGATTTTTCAAGTCCGATTACTGTGTGCTTCTTTATTTTTGCGCTACTTTTGTTTCGTTTGTCTTTTACAATTTCATATGTTAATACATTTTATCTGCCACAATATATTTTATCGGCCACTTGAAATGATGAAGAAGCGACAAAGGAAAAAAAAATACGCTGAACATAAAACGTCATTGTGTGTGATTCGGTGAGGTCGTCAAATGTTATACACTTTATACAATTTTCTGTTTCGTCTTTTTTTTCGGTCATTTCGTTTATTGCGATTATTGTTTTTGTAGGGC